CAGCGGTCGTCACAGGGTTACACCTTCAGCCTTGGTTCCGGCTCTGTCTCGTGGCGGGCTACCCGCTCGTCTTCTGTTCTCGGCTCCAGTTGTGAGGCTGAGATCTACGCTGGGGCTATGGCTGCACAGGAGTTACGCTGGCTCACCTACCTGCTGACCGACCTTGGAGAGCAGCCTCGTTCTCCTCCAGTCCTGTACGTAGACAACAAGGCCATGCTGGCCTTGTGTCGAGAGCAGCGACTGGAGCACAGAACGAAGCACATTGCTCTTCGCTACTTTCTTGCTCGTGAGCTACAGCAGCGTGGACAGCTGCGACTTGCGTACGTGGCCTCTGAGGCCAACACTGCTGATGTCTTCACCAAGGTACTTGCGCCTTGTGATCATCAGCGTTGCTGCACGCAGTTGGGTCTTGTGCCTGTCTTGCCTCACTTGCTCTCCTCTTGACCTTGCTTGTACCTTCGCATATATATACTCTTGCTCTTGTATATCTCTATATATGATCTTGCATGTGAACTGGCCTTGTGGCCTTTGAACTTGTGCTCGGAATGCGTGGTGACTTTGTGATCCACCCTGAGCTTTGCTTTGCTTTGCTTGACTGGTCTTGTGACCCCTTGTTCTCCCCCACTTTGCCTATGGGGGTGTGTCAGAACATATAGCTTACTTGTTTGTGTAGGCTATAGTGGGGTATCCCATAGGGGGTACAACACATTAGGGTTTCCTATTTGTATTCACTTCACTTCATAGTCATTCATCCTCGTTCTTTGTTTCCACAGGAACGTCCCTGAAGCGACGGACGATGAGGATGTTCGGACGGGAGAACAGGCCCTCTGCAGCCTGCTGCGGCAAATATATCAGAGGATGATGCCGCGCACATTCTCGGCGACCAACTGGGCGCAGACAATCCGTACTTGGCGACCGGAACACTTGAAAGCAGGATTCTCCGGTGTGAGGTTCCGCTACTGGGAGTTGACCAGGATTCCACACGGCAGAACTATGTCTCTGGAAGCATGCACTACAAAGCTTGGGCCTGTAAAATTCTTGCACCCGAGAGAAGCAACAGAGTGCCTAAAGAGGAGCAGGTTATCTACGAGGACGAGATCGGTAGGGAGATCGGCGACGATATGGGGCCGAGATGGAGGGAGGCGCTACGTAACGAGGAGCACCTGCATGGGCCGAAAATAACGAAATGGCGCTTGCGCGCGTACGTCGTCGACTGAAACCGACCAACAGGCGGCATCGTTGGATACAGGCCGGTCCAGAATCGCTGGAAGGAAGGCGAAAAAAAGCACCCCTACGATGATGCTGGCGCGCCTTACTGCGCTGACGTACTTCTGTAGAGTAGAGGCCATACTCTTTGACGAGCCACTAACGAAACCCTTGGACGACATCACCGAGGCCCGGCAGCTTCTTGCGGTCAAGCTGCGGCAACTACACGACTTTCAGTTCGAGTAAGTAGGCTGCCATACACCGGACTCTAAAACTTTTCACTCAAATTCTCACCCAAGTACTTGCTGTATCTGCCCACTCAATGTAGGTAGTGTGTCGATCCACACCGGGACTCGCTCGACGATGTTTACACGGAGGAGCAGTTCCGTATTCCCGTTTCAGACATCCTGCCGTACTGGGCCAAGGAGTACTTTCGGGAGTCGATGAGTTACCCCAGTCAGACGCTGTGGAGGGCCTTGGCGGTGAGGGTGATGATCCTGATGGCGCATCACATGCTGGGCAGGGGAATAAGCATCCGCGAGATCCGCTACTGCAATATGTTCACTCACGTCCTTCCGCCCATCACGAACAGCAAGGGGGAATCGTCGATCCACGTTCTCGTGGTCGCCTATCGCAACTCAAAGACCATCAAAGACAACAAGCTCGGCCACCTGTACCTGACTCGACACATGGACTTCCGGTAGTGCGGCTTTGGAGCAGTGTTCATGTGGATACATTTCATTTTCGACCTTGTGCCGCTCCACTACAACAACGATAAGATCGTGCCCCCCTTTGATTTTAGCAACCCGGAAAATTGGTCAAAGAAGCACCTGTTCTTCGCCCTCTTCGACAAGGACAAGACCGAGTTGCCGTACGCGACTCATGCCAAATGGGTTACCTGGGCGATGAAAAGCGCGGAGTGGATCCTGTCGAAAGTCACACATATCTTTCGACGGTCTGCGTCACAGATCCTCGCCGACAAAAACTGTGAACTCGACAACATCCCGCAGCTGGGTCAATGAGACATGAACGAGATGCGCAGGTCATACGTCACAGGCATACCGCGCAGGGCCATCCAGCTGCAAGCGGGTTTCACGACGGAACCGGGTGACTATTACCTTGGAAGATCGAAGAGCGAAGTACCCGCGAAGGTCCTAAAGGCTATCGAGGAGCACATATTTCCAAAGGCGGAGCAGTGGCTCGACGAGGTATGGATGCGTCGAGCGCTTAGCGTGATCATCGAATGCAAGTTTTGCCCGTCTATCTCTCAATGTCACCACGTTTGTTCTTGTTCAGGCGATGGAATGGAACAACGAGCAAGACAAGGAGCATATGTTCTTCGCGGCGAAAAGTTTCTTGAAGGCCCTGCAAGCCGCCCGAATGCCCATCGCCGAGGATCTTGCGATGTACTACGTCCATTGTGACGACCACCCCTTCGACGAAGTGACCGTTTGCAACTACGAGCATCACCCTATGCACAGATGTCCGGTTTGTGCAAGGACATGGATTTCCAAAAATGGGCGCTTGACGTGTATCTGCTCGACAAGTACGGCATCGAGATGCGGACCAACCCCACGCTGTCGAGAGCTTCAGTAAGATGGCCCTTCTAAATCTTAATCCGAACAGATGGCATCAGCCCACTTACCTACCGCTCGTGATCTTGTGCGCAGGACGCATCCTTTCAACTCAACACCAAGCACCTCATCACGCAACTTCGTGCATCGCGTTCGACGCACTGAAGATTACCGCCGCGACAACCGCAGCTGCGAATGTGGGGGGGGCGAGAGTGTGCCGCAGACGGCGACCGAAGAAACCACCCCGCCACCACAGCAACCCCCTCAATCAACGCCCACTCAACAGAGCAAGGGCGGCCAGCTCAACCAAGCATTCTTCGACGCAGTGGTGTGGCCGTGGTGCAATTGCGAGACCGTGCGGCAGGCGTGGTCGTACTGCGACGGGCCAAGCCCGCTGAACAAGGGACACAGTCTTCGACACGCTTAGAGGAGGGGTTTCGCCGTCAAGTTCAACAAGTTCACTCCGACTCCTCCCACCGTTCCCCCCGTTGCGGTGGACCAGCCAAAAGAAAAGCCACCGACCCCAAAAGCTGCCGAGTCGAAATTGCAGAAGATGGAGGTTGTCATGAGGGCTGTCGAGATGTTCAGGGTCGACGAGAGCAGCGCGGCTACGTCGACGATCATTGATAAGCTTGACTCAATAGTCACGAACCACTCGATCAACATGCTGGCTGAAGGGCTCGTTCTCAAAGAGGATTCGGGGAAGCAGCTCACGAAGAAACGCAAAGTCGAGACAGCAGAAGACAACCGAAAGGACAAAGATCGCCTCAGGATCACGCGGGAGCTCATTCGCGTCGAGCTTCGAACCACAAAATGGGCCGAGAACGTGTTCAAAGACAAATGGAAAGAGTTCATGAAAACATTGGGCGAGAGCCCAAGTTCGACAGGCAATCGTGACGAGGGGGGAAACTAGAGTAGGGTGTTCTTTCAGAGATTGCATGGCAGGTTCTCATTACTGACCGACCATCTCGCCTGTATGAACCTTCTGAGCATTATCGCAAACGTAAAGTCAAGATCCATCCAACATGTACATTCCGTCGATTAAACTTTGGAAACAACAAACACAACTATCGAGAATAGCAAACACCCCCACGCAAAGTGCCCGCCTAGACTACTCCCCTTGCCGGCCCGTTTCCGTCTCAGCTGCATCCTTGTCGCCCTGCTTCGCCTTGCTCTTTTCTTCTGGCATAGCCAGGCTGCCATAGCCCGCGTCCTCCAGCAAGCCGGCAGCAGCTCGACAGCAGCACCATTGCGTACAGACCTATGCCGCCACGCGCAGCATCTGCAGCAGTATGGCGTCCGTCGAGCCGAGACCTTTGACAGCCGACGAATACAGGTGATCGGGCCACTGCTTCGCCGGGAACGTCTTGCCGACGTGCAAAAGTATGGACACGAGTGCGGACATGGCAGCCACACAAGCCTTCTTTGCAGTCTCCGGGGCGTAGATCGCCGCGTTTGCGGCAGCTAGGGCATCCTTCTTAATATCCTCCCTCGACAACTTCCTGCAGGCCGCCCACAAGCTCGCCACAGTTGCTGCGATGGCCATCATGTGAGGTGTCGCCGCCATGCCCTTCGTGACCGGGTAAATCAGATTCCCGTGCTTCAGGCCAAGCGTCGCGACCTTACCAATCGCCACGCACAGCGCGATTCCCCTCTCGGTTCCAGCTTTCACTTCCTTTTTTGCCGTCGCCAACAGCGACAGGTAACTGCACATCGCAAGAAATGCGTTAGTCAAGAGGCCAGAATTCGACCGACAGCACATTCACCGCAAAACAGCAGGTGTTCGACAATTCACCAAACCAGCATGAATTCGACAGCAGAGTCTAGCAACATGACTTCGACAGGACAACTCGTCGAAATGACATTCCCCTTGTTCTTGCGTCACGCTCCAAACGCCGGTTGGCATTTCTGCGGGCGCATCGAGGTAGACCTTCCAGTCCTCCTCATCCTGCGCCGTGTACCCTTCGTACTCTGTAAGGACAACGTCGGGGAAGTACACGCGCCAGCAGACGGCCGTACAGAACTTCTGGTCCTTCTCTGTTTCAAAAGTGCCAAGGAACCGCAACTCCCGCCGACGGTATGCTCGGAAACCGGCTTCCCCTTCCGCAACCCAAAACCCGGTCCTTTGAAGGGATGTTTGCAGCCTCTCGTCTTGCCTTGGTCGTCCGGTCGAGGAGGTGGGGTGTGACCCGTGACCCTGGCCTTCTTCGCCTTTTCCTGTCAAGCAGCAACGACAATAGAGGTCTTCTCGACAGGCGCCTGACCAGGGACGCTGGCCAGCTCCACCATGTCAAGGCTCTCTGTCGCGTGTGCAGCGCGCTTCGACGACTTCGTCGCAGCCGGCTTCTTCTTCGACGTTGAAGGGGAGCCCGGATCGCTAAGACAAACGTTGCCTAGGGACGGAGCAGCGGCGACAGGAGCAACTGGAGGGGTTGAGGAAGACGCCCAATTTCCCACAAGCCCGACAGCAAGGCCAGCACCACCGCCGTGCGCAGCTGATGCAGCTTTAGTCTTCGACAGCAACCCAGCGCTTGCTTCTCCCGCTCCTTTCCCCGCACCGCCGCCTGACGGGGTAGAGGCACCTCGCATTCCTAGGGCTCTGTTCCCGATCGAGGTGATGTGCTCGTTCGGGGCACCACTTTTCTCTCCCGCGACCACTCCTTTCCCACCCGTTTTCCCCAGGCCTTGCAGCATGTCCCGCATCGAAGCAAACGCATCAGGTGGATCGATCGGAGCCGCTACGGAGGTCTTCGGGAGGGGCGACTGGTCGAGTACGATGACTTCCTCGACGGGCTTGGCGACGGGATGACGGCCACGCGCCGGTGGGGATCCAACCGGGCTGCCGACATGTCCTTCCACCGAAGAAGACGGAGGAACCGACCGCTCGTGACCTCGAGGCTCAGCCCCGCTGCGAACCCCTCCCACACCCTCCTGACGCGACCTCGTCGACGGGCCCGCCGAGCGCTGAAAACCTCTCGCCATCGCTTCGGTGAGGACTTCCAACCTCCGTGCTTCGGCTTCATGGTAGCCTTCCCTCACAATGTCCTTCAGCTCCTTCATGGTCTCGCGTGGGAGGGTGGAGCAGAACATGTCCTCCATGATGGCTTTCTCGAAACCCTTCAGCACCGCAGCAACCAGCCGCTCCTCGACCTGCTTGAGCTGCTTCTCGACGGCGTCCTTGCTCGCTTTTGTGATGGCGGCTGCCACCCCCTCGATGATCTTCCCGCTCATCTCGTCGATCTTCGCCCGCGCCCCTTCCAACAGGTTCCTCTCCGCCGTGACACCCTTCACAGCCTCGGCGCACTGCGACAGTGTGCTCTTCGACGACTCCGAAATCGTATTCCACGCCGTCCGAAAATCCGCAGCAAGCCTGTTGAATACTCCGGCTTGCTCAGTGTGTTTCGCAAATACATCGGCGGCGAGCTGCTTCTGCGACGCCTCGACCTTCTCGACCCTCTGCAGTAGCTCGACGACCTGGCCTCCGGGTGCAACGTTCGCCGTCGATTGGCCTGCCGTCGAAGGCCACCCGGTCGAAGGGCCCGCCTGTCCGCTGCCACTGGCCGTGCGGTGACTCCTTGTTACGGCGGCCTGTCGCTCATCTCCTCGACGATACTCCTCAGCAGCCTCCCCGACCTCCTGCTCCTGCCCTCCCGACCCACCCACCCGCGCAGCCGCAACCCTAAACTCCTGCTGCTGCACTCCTGCCCCACCCTCCTGCGCAGCCGCCACGCCCTCCTGCTGCTGCCCTCCTGCTCGGCCCTCCTGCGCAGCCGCCTCGCCCACCACCTGCTGCTGCCCTCCGACCCCACCCTCATGCGCAGCCGCTCCGCCCTCCTGCTCCTCGACAGCCTTAGTTTCCCCTGTCGCCTGCTGCTCGATAAGCTCGACTCGCTCGTCCACCCGCTCCCCGAGCGCCACTCCGTGCTCCCCCGTACGCTCCGTTCTATGTCCGGCGCCCTCGCCGTCGTCCTCGACCGACTCATCGCTCGAGCTCGAGCCGGAGCTAGATCCCGAGCTCGAGTCCTCGTCCTGGTTCGCATCGCCGCCCGGGCCGCTCGCCCCGTGCTGAGCCTGCCTCGATGTATCCTCCTCGATCTCCTCCTCCTCGACGCTGTACTCAATCACGACGCGTCCCGTCTTCTCGCCTCCTCCCTCGTGGTCGGCACCCCCTCCCACACCTGCTCCCTCCGCCACCTGGTCGACCTTTCTCGAAAACAGCTTGACCATGAACAACGGAAGCACACCCGGGCCAGGGTTCGTTCTCCATAGATGCACGAGTTCGCCCTTTCAAGGCTGTAGGATGAAGTCGTCCCATTTAGACAGAATCCGGCGCACCCCATGCACGACACGAGCTGCCGCGCCGTTTTGATAGGGGCTCGACAAGGTCGTCGTCGTCTGCGACGGGTACAAAACATACGTAAGCGACAAAGCACATGCTCGACGAAAACGCTGGTGGTCTAAGGAGAGCTTACCAGATGGTCGAAATCCTCGTTCAACTCCAAACGAAGGTCCATCATGTTCAACACTTCTTGGTCGTCCTCGGTCAGAGCCTGGTGGGTCATCGCGTACTCGGCGTGAAGCTGCTTTTTCATCTACCTGCGACGCAGCGGACAGAAGAGTAAGATTGTCGAGAAGAGCAGCTCGATAGCAGGGTGGCAAAGTTGTTACTCACACGAAAACTTCTTGCGCTAGAGAAGATTGGTGGTTCATATCGGGAAACTTGTCTTTCGAATCGAAGTGCATCATTCGAGTTCGACTGCCACGGTGCCTCGGAGCTTGCAGATCGTCGGGGCGCGATACCACAAACAGGCTCGAGTGGGAGAACGGAGGCACACTCAGTCTGCATGCAGAGCCAATGCACGTGAGAATGGGTTCAGGGCTAGAGACGGAGCACGCAAGGCGACGGGAGAGTGTCGAGCTCATGGTGTCCGCAGCAGAACGAAAACCACTTGCTTGCCGAGGAGGCCGTCGAGGTGGTTGTTCGCAAAAGCGACCGGGGTGGGACGGGCCATCTCTTCACGCGCACGCGCTGGAGTCACGATCGACACCTTGGGGAGCTGCTCGACGGATAGCAGCTCATGACAGAACAGGCTGCACGGAAAGCTAAGGCAACGTCAGCGAAAATGGCAAACATGGCAAACCGAAAATGTTCGACAGGACACGTACACGACGCCTGCGACCATCATGCTCTCGTTGAGCTCCCCTTTCGGTGCCTCTCTAATCGCATTCAGCTGGTCCTCGTACACTCCACCTCGACCCCGCCTGCACTAAGGATGAGGCCGCGTCGAACCGTCGCCTCGTTCATGACGGGTACGGAGGCGGAGCCCGTAGCCATGTCAGGCCTAGCAGTGGAGAGGGCGGGCGCGCAGGGGAGTTGGGAACTAGCAGGGACTAGGAAGTAGGGAAGTAAAAATCGGAAACATCAACAAAATGAGACCGGACGCAGGGTATTAGCTGTTTGCCATCCCTCCCACCGCGACGGACCAGGGGGGTTCAAGGGCGAGGAGGCAGGACGCGTTCCGAGACGCGGGAGGAGGAGGGAGGAGCTCTTCGCGGAGGTCGGCGGGGCCCTATTGGCCTCGACGTGAAACCTGGTTGTTGGTAGCATGGGGTGGGCCGCCTTGTGAAAGTTTAGGAGAAGGAAGAGGGTTGCACTAGCAAGAATGAGGATACAAATAGCAAACCCTAGAAGGGTTGTACTCGTTATAGAGCACCCCACTACAGGCTAGAGCATAACATTCTGACACGCCTTGCATGCAGCTGAAAGGCCCCTTCCAAGGTTCGGGAGGGGGCCTTCGCCACGTCACCAAGATCGAGCAGCTTGAACGAAACGGGCCCGTCTAGGGCGAGAGCGGTGGAGCGCGGCGCAGATGGGCGTCGATTTCGTCTGGCCGGCGAAATTTCGCGGACTGGTTCCGTCGGCGATGCGTCGCTCGGCGAGGGATGGGTGGGTTACCGGACGGAACCCGTCCACGAACCGAGCGAGGGGTTGGGCTCGGTTGGGAGGGGAACCACTGCCAGCTCGAGGGCGCGGGTTGCTGGCGTCATCGGCAGCTGGCGCCAGCTGGGGGTGCCCGTTTTCGGGCGGGAGGGGGGGGGTGGCTCCCGCCCCTCGCGTGCCCCGCTAGGCGACGGCGGGAAATCGAAAATCCCTCCTAGGAAAACCCGCAGGGGCGAACGGGGTTTCGCGGAGGGATTCGGGCGATGTCTTCCCTGAGAAATATGGTTCGAGGAAGGTTCCACTGGTGGAAAATACCAGCGTTAAAAAGGGTGTTCGGCTGGCATTCCATTATTGTCTGGTTCGGTGATGATCCGCTTATATCGAGCCTAGATAACCTTTCACACGCTTATCAAAGAAGGTTCCAGGGTGGTCGGTTTACTGTAGCCCAACCGGGAAAACCGTTTTTTAATGCCTGCCGAACTGGGCCCTGGTTCCACCCCTAGTCGCCGGTTTCGGCAATCGTCCATGTTCGCAGGCCAATCACGGCTCTCGCCCAACATACCTTTCGGAAACCCGTGAGTCGTCTCGTCGTGGAGTGACTGACCGAACCCAGCTTCGAAGCAATGCAAGCCAGCCCACATTTCATCATGCGGGAACAAGGGCACTTATCTGTCACCTCCTGGTTTTGATCCGCCTGACGGGAAATCGCATGGGCGACACGGGCTCTGCAGCGGCGGTCTCGGCCAATGAAGATCCGCCTGTAGCGCGCGTTTCGGCGTCAGGAGCGCCGTTGTTAGCGCCTCGCGTGCCGCCCTTCCCGGCTGTGCGAGCGCGAATCACCCACGTGATATTTGACCTAGACGGCACGCTTATTGACTCTGGTGAGTGCAACGATAAAGGTGGGAAACAGTGTTTTCTTATATTTATTGTCAGTTTATTTAAAACCAGGGTGTACATTACGTGGGGTGCGTTCAACCTGGAAAGCCATATCCTTTACCCCCCAATTATTGTTCCCCCTCCCCCGCAATTTTGTTTCCCCTCCCCCGCATTCTCGTTTTCCCTCTCCCGCAATTTCTGGATGTGTACCCTGGTTCTAAAAGACCGCCCAGTCGCTTTTTATGAGGCGACTCAATATTCAGCATTCCAATCGACTTTATGATTTTGTGAAAAGGACGGTCAAGGGAAGAAAAGGGTTACCATTGTTGAATACACTCAAAAATACCTCTGACCCGCAGTTCTATATCCGATGTACATGTCGCCACGCCTGACTTGAGTGAGTTGGGCCCACATGGAGAAGGATAGGGTTTCCCAGTGACATTTTTTTACCTTCGCACTTTTTTTGGCAACTCATAAGTCATCACGCTGATCGACTGGGTGAGTGGGTTGAACGGTGAAGTTTGATTGCGGGAGGAGGGGGGCGGATGCGGGACGCGGAAGGGGGAAGGGTGAAGGGGGGAGGGGATAGGGGTAAGGCGGGAAGGGGCAGGAAGGAGCGTGGAGGGGGGGATGGGAAGGTGGATGGCAGGGGGATGCGAGGAGGATTTGGGAAGGGAAAGAGGGCGAGTGTGGTTGATTGAAAGTGGAGTGGGAGAGAAACGAAGTGGAAATCCCAATTTTTCCTCTATCCCTCTTTGTTTGAGATAAGTTTTGAGAATTCTCAAAACTAATCTCAAACAATTCTTCCTCTATCCTTCCCTCTCTCTTTCCCTTTTCCTCCGTGTGCCCGATTCAATCGCGAGCAACCCCTCTTGGCTCCTCCCCCCCTGAGCCCCCCTTGTGCCTCCATACCTGTGTTCCCACCCCACTACCGACACGGCACGGCCCATTGAGGGGGGGGAAGGCTTTTGAGTCGACTCAAAAGCTGCCTCCACACCTGTGTTCCCTTGATCAACACGGTCCATCGAGGTGAGGTCGTATGGTAGGGTATCATCATGCGAGCTGGTTTTTGAGAATTCTCAAAAACCAGCTGGTAGGGTATCATGCGTATTTTCAGACATTCCAGCGAGCAGCAGTTTCTAAGGAGAAGGTTTAGCAAAGGAGAAAACTGTTGTAGTAAAATCCTAAGTAAATAGGTGAGGTCGTATGGTAGGGTATCATGCGTCTCTCTTCTCTATCCTCTATCCTGATTCAAGAGGGGACGTACCCGAGCCATTCAATGCACCTATCTCTATCCTCTCCTCTCCTCAACTCAATCCTCTCAATGGGCGCCTATCAACTCAACTCAACTCAACTCAACGCACGTCACGTCACACACACCCGAGTCGATTCAGTTCACAAGCAGGCGGTCCACTACAAGGCAGTTTTGAGTCGACTCAAAACTAGGTCCACAAGCAGGCGGTCCACTACGAGGCGCAGCGCAACATCTGATCTGCCTCCCAAATCCCGTATCCCATCCTCCGTTTCCCCTCTCCCCCCTTCCCCCACTCCCCACCTCCCCCCTCATCCTCCCCCCCTCCCCCCCCATCCTCCCCCCCCCCGCTCCCTCCCCCCCCCCCTCCCCCTCCTCCCCTCCTCCTTCCCCCCCCCCCCCTCCCCCTCCTCCCCTCCCTCCTCCCCCCCCCCCCCCCTCCCCACATTCCCCTCCCAGAGAGAGTGGTGACGGAGGTGTCAAGGCAAGTGGTGGAGGGGCATGGCAAGGCGTGGACGGGGGAGGGCGCGGAGCAGTGCGTGGGGAGGCTGCCTATCGAAGGGGCGAGGGCGCTGGTGCAGCTGTATGGACTGCCTTGCTCCCCTGAGGAGTTTCTGCAGGCGCTACTAGAGCAGCTTCAAGGCAGGTGGGGTGGGGGGTGGGTGTGGGGTAGAGGGAGGGCAAGGGAAGGGGGAAGGGGAGAGGGGAGAGGGGAGAGGGGAGAGGGGATTGGGGGAAGGGGAGAGGGGAGAGGGGATTGGGGGAGGGGGGAGGGGGAGGGGGGAGGGTGGAAGGGAGGGGGGAGGGCGGAGGGGGTTGGGGGGAGGGGGGAGGGGGGAGTGGGAGGAAGTGAGGGAAGCGAGGGGGAGGAGAGAGGGTGGGAGCAGACACAATGAGTTTTGAGGCGCCTCAAAAGACGGCACGATGAGCGTTCAGAGTGCCTGAAGCTGCTGCCCTCCCCTCCTCCTCGTCCCCTCCTTTGACCTCTTCTCCGCTCCTCCCTTTACCCCATCGCCTCTTTTGCCCTGCCTTCCCCTCGCTTTTCCATATGCCCTTGCTGCTTGTCATTTCCTTTCCCCGGCGTTTTCTCCACTTTCTCCTTTCCCCATCCCCTCTCTTTTCCATATGCCCTTGCTGCTTGTCATTTCCTTTCCCCGGCGTTTTCTCCACTTTCTCCTTTCCCCATCCCCTCTCTTTTCCATTTGCCCTTGCTGCTTGTCATTCCCTTTCCCCTGCGTTCTCTCCACGTGCTCCATTCCCCATATCCTCAAGCGTTTTTCCATCCCCATGATCATCCTCCTTCACCTCTCCCACTAATCCCCCCTCTCTTTTCTCCTCCCCTACCTACTCTCCACCCGCTCTTCCCTATTCTCCCCCCTCTTTCCCCCTCCCCTCCCCCCACGCCCCTCTCCACTACCCCCCTCCTTTCTCCTCCCTACTCTCCTCCCGCTCTTCCCCTCTCTCTCCCCATCCCCCGCCCCCGTTCCCCTCCCCACTTCCCTTCCCTTCCCACTCCCCTTTCCCACAATGATTGAGCGGGTGGAATTCTTCAAGCTTTTGCCCTCCACCCTTGTCGCTGTCCCTGTCCACACCTGTCCCTCCCTCTCTTTCTCCTCGTCCCCTCGTCCCCTCGTCCCCCCTTTTCCCTTTGCCCCCTCGTCCGATGCTCTCCGTTTTCGTCGCTTTCCCATGTCTCCTTGCCTTTCGTCATTCCCTTTTCCCCAATTTTCCTCCCACTGTTCGCCCACTGTTCGCCCCAATCAATCCTCCACTTTCTCTGTGCCCCTCCCAAAACGTTTCCCACCCCCCTTCTCCTCCTCCTCCTCCTCCTCCTCCTCCCTCCTCCTTCACCTCTCCCGCTTCCCCCCTCTACTCCCCCTCCTCCCTTACTCTTCCCCCACTCTTCCCTCCCCTCTCCCCCGTCCCTTCGTCCTCCCCCTCCCCCCCCCCTCTCCCCCCTCTCTCCTCCTCCCTCCGTCCCCCCCTTCTCCACCCCCTCCTTCTCCTCCTCCAGGTGGCACGAGGCCAAGGCCTTGCCAGGAGCCCATCGCCTGCTCTCGCACCTCACAGCAGGGCACGTGCCTGTAGCCCTCGCCTCCAGCTCACCGCGGGGCATCATTGCCACCAAGCTCGCCCTGCAACCAGGCGGGTAACCCTTTGTGCGCGCTTGTAAGGGGGGGGTGGGGGGGGGGGGGATGGGGGAAGTGGGGGGTGGTGGGGGGATGGGGGAAGGCGGTTGGGGGAGGGAGATGGGGAAGAGGGGGAGGGGGAACGGGGGATGGGGGTTATGCTGGAGTATGTTTTTGAGTATGTTCTGAAGGATTCTCTTTGCCAGGAGCCCATCGCCTGCTCTCGCACCTCACAGCAGGGCACGTGCCTGTAGCCCTCGCCTCCAGCTCACCGCGGGGCATCATTGCCACCAAGCTCGCCCTTGCCCTTGCCCTTGCCCTTGCCCTTGCCCTTGCCCTTGCCCTTGCCCTTGCCCTTGCCCTTGCCCTTGCCCTTGCCCTTGCCCTTGCCCTTGCCCTTGCCCTTGCCCATGGTTGAAACTGGTCCAGAATTTGTTTGACTCGACTCTTCACTTGTTGTATCATTCCTCTTGCCACTTGGCTTTCTTGCCATTCCTCTTTTCCCTCCAGATGACTGATGCTGTCACCTTTCATCTCTCTTGCTGGTGTGCCGCTCTGTTCATTGTCATATGGCATGGCACTGCATGGCACGTATGGCATGGCATGGCATGGCATGGTACAGCACTGCGTGGTATGGCAGGATGATATGGTCTGGTATGACACGGCATGGCACGGCATGGCACTGCATGACATGGCACGGCACGATATGGCGTGGTGTGGTGTGGTGTGGTGTGGTGTAACAGGATGGCAGGAACTGTTTGCAGTGACAGTAGCGGGGGAGGAGGTGGCACAGGGCAAACCAGCTCCTGACATGTGAGTGGGTGAAGGAGGTGGGTGGGTGGGTGGGGGAGGTGGGTGGGGGAGGTGGGTGAGGGAGGTGGGTGAGGGAGGTGGGGGAGGGAGGTGGGTGAAGGAGGTGGGTGAGGGAGTGGGTGGGGTAGTGGGTGAGGGAGAAAGTGAGGAAGGTGGATGGGATGAATCATGAATGCATCTGTACCAAGAATTACCATCAAAACTCAATCAGTTGTTCCATTCCATGCACCTATCAGGTGACTTTTGAGTCGACTCAAAAGTTACCAGGAAGTACCATCAAAACTTAATCAGTTGTTCCATTCCATGCACCTATCAGGAACATGAGAAGGCACAAATCTCACGCCTTATTGTTCTTGTCCTCTCCTCTCCTGTCCTCTCACCTGCCCCTCCCTCCGGTGTCGCATTGTTCTTGTTCTCTCCCTCCTATTTTCTCCCCTCCTTGCTTCTCTCAGTTTTCTGAGGGCTGCAAAGCTAATGGGGGCTAAGCCATCGGAATGCCTTGTGTTTGAGGACGCCCCGTGAGTGTGTGCTAACCGAATGCCCCAGTGAGTGCTACGTCACTGTGAGTGAGTGTGCTAAGTGCTCATCCTCATCATCTTCCGTAATTGTCCCACTCCCATGAAATGAAAGTCAATCCCCTCTTGCAAACGCACCTACCACACCACGACCAACATATGCCCGTGCAATTCCCCTTTTCTCTCCTCTCCTGCATGGGATCTGCCATGCCACTGCATCCCCCACACCACTGCATCCCCCACACCACTGCAATGTTAGCAGTCCCCTGGTGTCCACTCGTCTCCGCTCGTCTCCTCACTCAATCACTCTCTTTCCCATACCCTCTCATCTCCTCACATGCACGCCATTCCTGTTTCCCCCTCAAATCAAACCCCACCCGCTCCTCTTTCCGTGCGCTCCAGTGCAGGTGTGCAGGCAGCCAGGGCAGCGGGCATGTATGTCATCGCAGTGCCTTCTCTGCCCCAGAAGGCTGCACGGGCACTCTACTCTTCTGCACACCAGGTAACTGGAGGCAGGCATGCATGTCGTGGCAGTGCCAGGGCAGCGGGCATGCATGTTGTGGCAGTGCCAGGGCAGCGGACATGCATGTCGTGGCAGTGCCAGGGCAGCGGACATGCATGTCGTGGCAGTGCCAGGGCAGCGGATATGCATGTCGTGGCAGTGCCAGGGCAGCGGACATGCATGTCGTGGCAGTGCCAGGGCAGCGGACATGCATGTCGTGGCAGTGCCAGGGCAGCGGACATGCATGTCGTGGCAGTGCCAGGGCAGCGGACATGCATGTCGTGGCAGTGCCAGGGCAGCGGACATGCATGTCGTGGCAGTGCCAGGGCAGCGGACATGCATGTCGTGGCAGTGCCAGGGCAGCGGGCATGCATGTCGCGGCAGTGCCAGGGCAGCGGGCATGCATGTTGTGGCAGTGCCAGGGCAGCGGGCATGCATGTTGTGGCAGTGCCAGGGCAGCGGGCATGCATGTTGTGGCAGTGCCAGGGCAGCGGGCATGGATGTTGTGGCAGTGCCAGGGCAGCGGGCATGCATGTTGTGGCAGTGCCAGGGCAGCGGGCATGCATGTCGTGGCAGTGCCAGGGCAGCGGGCATGCATGTCGTGGCAGTGCCAGGGCAGCGGGCATGCATGTTGTGGCAATGCCAGGGCAGCGGGCATGCATGTTGTGGCAGTGCCAGGGCAGCGGGCATGCATGTTGTGGCAGTGCCAGGGCAGCGGGCATGGATGTTGTGGCAGTGCCAGGGCAGCGGGCATGCATGTTGTGGCAGTGCCAGGGCAGCGGGCATGCATGTCGTGGCAGTGCCAGGGCAGCGGGCATGCATATCGTAGCAGTGCCAGGGCAGCGGGCATGCATGTCGTAGCAGTGCCAGGGCAGCGGGCATGCATGTCGTGGCAGTGCCAGGGCAGCGGACATGCATGTCGTGGCAGTGCCAGGGCAGCGGACATGCATGTCGTGGCAGTGCCAGGGCAGCGGACATGCATGTCGTGGCAGTGCCAGGGCAGCGGACATGCATGTCGTGGCAGTGCCAGGGCAGCGGGCATGCATGTCGTGGCAGTGCCAGGGCAGCGGGCATGCATGTTGTGGCAGTGCCAGGGCAGCGGGCATGCATGTTGTGGCAGTGCCAGGGCAGCGGGCATGCATGTTGTGGCAGTGCCAGGGCAGCGGGCATGGATGTTGTGGCAGTGCCAGGGCAGCGGGCATGCATGTTGTGGCAGTGCCAGGGCAGCGGGCATGCATGTCGTGGCAGTGCCAGGGCAGCGGGCATGCATGTCGTAGCAGTGCCAGGGCAGCGGGCATGCATGTCGTAGCAGTGCCAGGGCAGCGGGCATGCATGTCGTGGCAGTGCCAGGGCAGCGGGCATGCATGTTGTGGCAGTGCCAGGGCAGCGGGCATGCATGTTGTGGCAGTGCCAGGGCAGCGGGCATGCATGTTGTGGCAGTGCCAGGGCAGCGGGCATGGATGTTGTGGCAGTGCCAGGGCAGCGGGCATGCATGTTGTGGCAGTGCCAGGGCAGCGGGCATGCATGTTGTGGCAGTGCCAGGGCAGCGGGCATGCATGTTGTGGCAGTGCCAGGGCAGCGGGCATGCATGTTGTGGCAGTGCCAGGGCAGCGGGCATGCATGTTGTGGCAGTGCCAGGGCAGCGGGCATGCATGTTGTGGCAGTGCCAGGGCAGCGAGCATGTATGTCATCGCCATGCCTTCTCTACCCCGAAAGGCCGCACGGCCACTCTACTCCTCCGCACACCAGGTAACCCTTCTGAAACTCGCTCTCACATCCCAGCCACCCTCCCAGTTACCCGTCTGGGCTGTTGCAAACCAAACCAACAATAGGTTAAATGGCACCAAATGCATGTTTCCGATTAGACTATGCGCTTTATAGATGGCCTTGCTTCTTCTCTGCTCTTCAGATGGGTGTTTCCATTCCACTATAGGTGTTTCCAGTGTGACTGAGACTGCATCTTTGTCCCCTCCCTCCCCCACTTACCCCCCCCCCCTTCCCCCCCCCCCCCTCCCGCTCCCGCACCCCCTTACTTTGTCCATACAATTAAGTTGAACTCCTCGTCTTTGCTCCGCTCGTCTCTCTTCCCCTCTCCTCGCTCCACCTCCCATCTCCTCCTTTCTCCGCTCCTCTTGTATTCTCCGCTCCTTTCCTTATCGTGTCTTCAGTGTTTTTCTGCTCTCCCTTACACTATCCTCTTCTCTCATCATCTCGTCATGTGTCCCGTGATAACCTTTTTTGTTTTGTTTTTCCCCTCCGCCCTTTCCACTCCTCTCCTCTCCTCTCCTCTCCTCTCCCACGCACACCTCTCCTTGTTCCTTTCATCCTCTCCACCCTTCACTCTCCCCCTCCCTCTCCCCCTCCCTCGCCCCCTCCCTCTCCCCCTCCCTCTCCCCCTCCCTCTCCCCCTCCCTCTCCCCCTCCCTCTCCCCCTCCCTCTCCCCCTCCCTCTCCCCCTCCCTCTCCCCCTCCCTCTCCCCATCCCTCTCCCCCTCCCTCTCCCCATCCCTCTCCCCCTCCCTCTCCCCCTCCCCCTCCCCCTCCCTCTCCCCCTCCCTCTCCCCCTCCCTCTCCCCCTCCCTCTCCCCCTCCCAATCCCCCTCCCTCTCCCCCTCCCTCTCCCCATCCCTCTCCCCCTCCCTCTCCCCCTCCCTCTCCCCTTCCCTCTCCCCATCCCTCTCCCCCTCCCTCTCCCCCTCCCTCTCCCCCTCCCTCTCCCCATCCCTCTCCCCCTCCCTCTCCCCCTCCCTCTCCCCCTCCCTCTCCCCATCCCTCTCCCCCTCCCTCTCCCCCTCCCTCTCCCCCTCCCTCTCCCACTCCCCTTCCACCTATTCCACCAGATTCTTGCTTCGCTATTAGACTTTCAACCAGCTGACTGGGGCCTACCGCCGTTCACAGATTGTGAGTTTCTTGAGACGTCTCAGCACTTGCTTCACTTCACTGTTAGACTTTCACTTCAACCAGCTGAGTGGGGCCTACTGCCGTTCACGGATTGTGAGTCATCCGCATGACCGTTTCATAACAAATATAATCATTCTTAGATTACCAATTCTGCCTAGTACGGTTCCTTCGGACCTTGTGCCTGGCTTTTATAGGAGTATGCAAAATCAACGCACCACTTCTGTCAGCTTACAAGGCTTTCCCAACCACACCACTCCCCCATCCCCTCTTACCCTAAGCCCCTTCCCAGGTGACTTTTGAGTCGACTCAAAAGCCATCCCCTCTTACCCTAAGCCCCTTCCCAGGTGACTTTTGAGTCGACTCAAAAGCCATCCCCTCTTACCCTAAGCCCCTTCCCATCCAACCCCTTCCCACATCCCATAAACCCATTCCTCCCTCCCCACCGTCACTCCTTCCCTCCCCTCCGCCCACCCTCCCACGTTTCCCCCTTGACACTCTGACCTCCCCCCAGGGGTGCATGCATCACTGCCCATCGATCCATGGTACATGAAAGGGCCTGTTATCAAGGGCTACGGCAGGGGATTCAAGCTCCTGGGCATTCCCACCAATCCCCAACCCCCTCTTCTCCTTACCCTCTTACCATCCACCTCTTTCTCTCCTTTTCCATTCCTCCCCTCCCCAACAACACGATCTCCCCTCCCTTCCCTGTTCCCCTTTTCCCCCATCCCCCTGACCCTTCACTCTCCTGTCACCTCAAACCCCCCTGCAGGGGTGCATGCATCACTGCCCATCGATCCATGGTACATGAAAGGGCCTGTTATCAAGGGCTACGGCAGGGGATCCAAGCTCCTGGGCATTCCCACAGGTGTGTGCGTGCGTGAGAGCGTGAGAGTGGGCGGGGATTTTTACTCGCTGCCGTGTGCACGGGTTGCTCCTTAGGTCGTCTTGTTTGTGGTTCCGTTATCAAACGGTATGGCAGGGAATTCAAGATCCTGGGCATTCTCGCAGGTGCGTGCATGTATGCGTTCGTGGGTGCATGAGTGCGTGCATGAGTGCGTGCATGAGTGCGTGCATGAGTGCATGCGTGAGTGCGTGCGTGAAAGCGTGCGCGTGTGAGAGAGGGAGGGGCTTTTTACTCGCTGCCGTATGCACGGGTTGTTGCTCCTTAGGTCGTTTCGTAGTAGTTCCGCTATCAAGGGCTATGACAGGGGCTCCAGGATCCCAGGTTTTCCCACAGGTGCGTGCCGGTGCAAGCTGAGGTCCTTGGCATGCCAGGGAGAGGCTCGATGCTCGCTGCCATTGGTATAGATTGCTTCGTAGGTCGTATGATAATAGGTCACTCCGTAGCCCGTTTCACAAGGTCGTTTCGTAAGTCCGTCCAGGTGGCACGTTGCACACGGTGCTTCCATAGGTCGTTGCACACGGTGCTTTCCTTGCACACGGTGCTTTCGTTGCACACGGTGCTTTCGTTGCACACGGTGCTTTCGTTGCACACGGTGCTTTGGTTGCACACGGTGCTTTCGTTGCACACGGTGCTTTCGTTGCACACGGTGCTTTCGTTGCACACGGTGCTTTCGTTGCACACGGTGCTTTCGTTGCACACGGTGCTTTCGTTGCACACGGTGCTTTCGTTGCACACGGTGCTTTCGTTGCACACGGTGCTTTCGTTGCACACGGTGCTTTCATAGGTCATTCCAGGTGGACTTGGCAGCCCACCTGTCCATTGTCGTCAGGTTGTTCGTTCTATAGGTCCGTCCGTCACGCAACTTTTGAGACGCCTCAAAAGCCCACCTGTCCATTGTCGTCAGGTTGTTCGTTCTATAGGTCCGTCCGTCACGCAACTTTTGAGGCGCCTCAAAAGCCCACCTGTCCATTGTCGTCAAGTTGTTCGTTCTATAGGTCCGTCCGTCACGCAAGACAAGTGCTTTCTAGCTGCTTGCTTCACTTGCACTTTCTGCCTGTTCGGCCCGTGTGTTTTTTGAGAATTCTCAAAGAACACTTCGTGAGCTCGTGAAACAAGCTGCGGCTGGTTGTGCTTTGCAAACGTTGCGAGCAAGAGTTTCTGACGAGATTGCCTTGCTTCACAAGGTGTACCTCTTGTAGACTGCTCTGGTGATTGATTGGCTTGTGCGTTTCTAATCAGTGTACAATCCGATCCGATCGACACTTCCATGACAGCTGCCAGACGGTTGCCATTCATGGTTAAGAAGGGCTGCGATCTCTAGTCCTCCGACACTGCAGCCCTTCTTAACGATGAGTGACAACAATCCGATCAACACGACACTTCCATGGCATCTGCCAATGGTATTCCGATCCAATCATCTTGATATGCCATCGTTTTGCGATTATGGAAACGCCCTTTCGTTCAGAGGCTCTTTTTTTATATATAAAAAGGCATTTTGATCTCTCTGCGAGATGGTATTTCTCCTCTATTCTTACCACATTACTGTTTGTACTATATTTTCTGCAAAACCCTACATTCCCGCACCCTTGTTGTCGGCCAATCAACCTGCCCTTGTCTAGACACTGCACTGCACCTTCAATAGAACACGTGTGGGATCAACGCACATGGGGCAGGACAGCTTCTGAGCAGACTCAAAAGTTGTCAGCCAATCAACCTGCCCTTGTCTATACACTGCACTGTGTACCTTCAATAGAACATGTGCCGGATTAATGCAGACGGGACAGGATAGGGGCACGCTCTTAGCATCCACTTCCTGTCTCGTTTCCCTTCCCATCCCCTTGTCCCACTTCCTCTCCTCAACCCGCTTCCCACCCCGTCTCCAATGAACCTCCCCATCCCTCCCCATCCTCTACCAGCCAACCTGCCGTCCTCATCATTTGCAGGGCACCTGGCAGAGCACATGTGTGGGATCTACCATGGGTGGAACAGCGGCTCTATTTTTCAAACACTCAACCCACCTATCTGATTCCCTCCCTCCCCATCCCCTTCATTTCACTTCCCTCTCCACACCACATCCGCCTCCCTCCCTCTCTTCGCTGAACGTGCACCTTCCTTCCCGTTCTCCACCAGCCAACCTGCCATCCTCCTCGTCATTTGCAGGGCACCTGGCGGAGCACACGTGTGGGATCTACCATGGGTGGAACAGCGGCACCCTTGGAACAATCACTGCACCCATCTCACTTCTTCCCTCCCCATCCGCATATCTCACTTTTCCCTCCCCATCCTCCACCAGCCAACCTGCCGTCCTCGTCATTTGCAGGGCACCTGGCAGAGCACACGTGTGGGATCTACCATGGGTGGGCAGCGTTACCAGGGAGGGGCGTGTTCAAGATGGTTATGAGCGTGGGCTGGAATCCCTTCTTTAACAACACGCATAAGACAGTGGTGTGTGCGAGTGTGCATATGAGTAGGTGCATGAGTGTGGTGTGGGCGTGTTCAAGATGGTCATGAGCGTGGGCTGGAATCCCTTCTTTAACAACGCGCATAAGACCGTGCTGGGTGTGAGTGTGTGCATCTGTGTATGTATGTGTGCGTGCGTGCGTGCGTGCGTGCGTGCGTGGCGTGGGTGTGTGGGTTGGGTGGATGGGTGCTTGGGTGGATGGGTGCTTGGGTGGATGGGTGCTTGGGTGGATGGGGTGCTTGGGTGGATGGGTGCTTGGGTGGATGGGTGCTTGGGTGGATGGGTGCTTATGCTGAACCTCCTTCCCCACCTTCGCTTCCTCCCATCCCCACCCCTCACTAGTGCTGGTTGCTATGGGTGTGTAAACACTGGACTCTCTTCTCCCTTGCCTATGCTTCCACTCTCATCCGCCTTACCCCTTCTCCTCACATCTCCTCTCCTCTCCTCTCTTCTCCTCTCCTCTCCTCTCCTCTTCCCTCCCCTCGTCTCCTCATCTCCTATTCTCCTCCTGTCGTCTCCTCATCTTCTCATCTCCTCATCTCCTCACCTCGTTTCCTCTCCCCTCTCTTCTCTTCCCCTCTCCCCTCAGGAGCCCTGGTTGTTGCATGACTTTGGGGAGGACTTCTATGGGGAGGAGCTAAGGCTGTTGGTTGTGGGGTACATTCGTGCAGAGGTGAGGCCGCCCCCATCTTTACCTTGTTGTGGGTACATACATTCCCCTACCCCACAAATGCTGAGGACTTCTATGGGGAAGAGCTATGGCTGTTGGTTGTGGGGTACATTCGTGCAGAGGTGAGGCTGGGGGGGTGGTAGGGGAATGGCAAGTGAGCAAAGGGGAAACGGAGGCACAGATGCTTGTAGATTATACGAACACGACACCTTTTAATAGCACTGCACTGTACTGATGAGGGCACATCAGCCATCCTTTTTTCTGTCTCTGTCTCTTGTGATGCCTCTTCAAAATGACCTGTTGACCCAGCGCACCCTCCTAACTTCTCCCCTTCCCCACCCCTCCCCTCTCGTGATTCTCCTTTTTTCTCCTTGTTGATTCCATCGTTTTCCTTATGTCTACTTTCTTGCTGTGCGCAGGCTGACTTCCCTGACCTGCCTTCATTGATTGCACGCATTCACCGGGATGGGGAAATCGCACGCAAAGCGCTAGACCACCCACCCTTCGCTGTCTACAAGACTGACCCTTTCCTCAACCTTCCTTAACGCGAGGGTTACTGACAAGGGCGCGGCCTCCGATTTGCCAGGGGTTTTACTCAGTGTTTGCATTCTCCGCCATTTATCCCTTATCGCTCGTGCAAATGCCTTCCAACCCTGTGCGTTTATCTTCACACCTACCGTACCAGTAGCGATGTCATCTCAGGGTACTAACGTGCAATTTGATTCCCTCATGTGCAAACGAGCAATTTGTGATGTAGGTTACGGCTCTAAAAGGTTGAGCATTCTACCATGCCAACCACTGAGACAGAAAGTGCAATATAACAGAGTTTAAGACATCGACGAGGCAGAATATTGCCCATCTTCTACACACAAATAACATCAATTTTCATGATTGAATCTCTACCATCGAGTAGATAACATTATAACAGAAAAACATCCCCAACCCACACAGCTTCCCAGCTACTCCTGACAGCACCAGCACCCCAACAAAAGAACTGACTCTATAACAAGAGACCAAAAGATGGAGCAGTAATGTGAAAGCAAAAATGGAAGAATGCAGAATGGATAGTTTGATGTGGGAAAGACAAGCTCCATGCCAGCTGCCTCCACTGATGGACTATCGCATCTCCAGTGCTGCTTCACACCAATCTCCCTCCAATGAACAGACGCTCTAATGCTAATGCATGTGCACATGAGATCAGTCACCTGATCAAGGTTCCACCTCTCCAATAATAGAGCCGAGCAATCCCTCCTGCTATAACTTGCTGGACGTTTAAACGGCCTGAGATGTGGCCATGGGCTTGCTAGGGTGAATGAGCATGTTGCACAATTAAGCACAACAGTTGGACGCAGCAGGCGCAGGAGCGGATGTGTCTCGAATGTTGAGATTACTTGGTTTCTGCATCCAAGGCGAAGGGGCCAAACACATCGAAGGGAGGGAAGGAATCAAACAAACATGTGGTGAGTCATACAAAACGAGCACCATACGATACCACACAATAGAAAAAAAAGGTGGAGGGTAGACAGGTCAAAATTGAGATGCGTACCTCCGTGTTGGCTGCGTGTGTAGCTTCATAACGCTTTTTGCTCTCTCTTGCAATACACACGAAGGCCTCTTCGACATTGATATCAGCCTTAGCAGACTGCACCAGCAACAAGAAATATCAGAGATGAGCACTGCAATGAAAGAAACTTGCACGGAAGGAATCACTGCACCAGAGTTGCATGACGTACAGTTTCAAAGAAGTTGATTTTAAACTCGTTCGCAAGTTGCTGCCCCTGGTCCTTTGTCACCACCTGCAAATATAGCGAACTAAGCTCGTAAGTAACTGTCCAGGCAACCTAACATGACAAGAATGATGATAGTTACCCGCCGATCCTCCATATCAGCCTTGTTGCCCACCAAGATCTTGCAAACGCTCTCAGAAGCATGCTCCTCAATGTTTCGGATCCAACCACGAATGCCTGCAATTTAGGAAAGTCGATAAAAATCACAATTTCTGTAATCATACGAGGAAAACAAAGTAGGGAAGACCAAGAAACAAAATGCGGCCCTCACTGTTGAAGGACGACTCGCTGGTGATGTCGTAGACAAGAACAATACCGTTAGCCCCGCGATAATAAGCTGCACAGAAGAGAGGGAATAAGCTTAGACCAAATTATCTTATCGTGCCCAAATCTCTATAACCAAAAAGTAGGGAGGAGAAACATCTACCTGCAGTGATGGTACGGAAACGCTCCTGTCCTGCTGTATCCCAGATCGACAGCTTCACTTGTTCCCCATCGATATCAATGGTGCGAGTCTTGAAATCGACACTGCAACATACATGCGTCACGATAGGCACAAGCGGATATCGAAGACAGACCACGATGACAGGTACACAATGCTCGGATGACTGTAGCGAATTTACTCGAACCAAACATGCTGAACAACGCATTTCTGCGAACAATCAAAATGGGAACTAACATGCATGCATCGTCCGAACATCAACGGCGTTAAGAGCCATGAACAGCAAGCCAATGCAGTTCAATCACAACCAGATCTGGAGTAATTGAATGCGGATCGGGGAAAAAAATTGACGTACCCAATAGTTGATATGAAAGTGTGGCTAAAAGAATCTTCTGCGAACCGTAGCAGCAAACTAGACTTTCCGACAGCTGCGAGTGATAGATTGCACCAAAGACCGGGACAAGAACAGGGGAAAACATCATAAGCGCGGCATCAACGCAAGATAAAATCAGAACTAAGGAAAAAGGACCGAAAGTAACTCGACGATGGACAGGCTAATGATTCTCACTCTGCAACGTTCAAGGGAAAGAACGACGAAGCGATACGAGAAGAAAACAGTGAAGTGGGATGAGCGCCTTAACGACAACAGACTCAGGAAAGCAAAACGTCTGACGAAAAACAACGCTATGAGGTCGGAAAGTGCAACAAGAGACGGACGTAACGTAGAACAATAAATAAAGGGGGTAGTGAAGCAGCTACGTTGTGTTGAACGGAGAAAACAGGTGAACGCCTATTGCTTCTACAAGATCATGACGTGCGAAATACAGCGTAACGAAAAATCTATTTCTTAATAGCACTGGCAAAACCTAGAAAATGCCACAGATTAATGCGGATCCGCGACTTTACCACTATCTCCGATCAGGAGAAGCTTGAGTCTGGTTTCTCCGTGCTTGCGTCCAGTTGACATGATTCGAGCCGGAATAAAAACAAAAACGTGTGGACGTTAGCAGCAGATCAAGCTTCTAAATGAGCAGATCACTGTCTGGAAAAAGTAGCTTCCACGAGGCTATTACGATTGTTGATGTCCTAGGCAGGAGGCAGGTAAGATGTGCAGGTGAGATGGCGGAGAGGAGGCTAGGACATCAAGAAATATAAAATGTGGGAATGAGGCAGATCCACTCCTTCACGTCAAGGGCACCAAACCAAACCCTCGTTTTCACGCCTCTACTTTTCCAGGAAAGGTTGATTGGTCATCAGTCACGGGCTACCAGATCTCGCCACAACGTACTGCAACAGCAGCACATGGATGGGAGCAAATGAGGTATGGCCTTCCCCAGCCCTAGTGGTGTGGTCGACCCGCCAGGATTTTTTTGCGGAACTTATTGCCCGAACAAGTCCGCGGAACCTGAAGGACTTGAGCTGACAATACCCTACGTTCGGTTTGACTGGAGCTTTTCCCGCCTTGTTGCGGAAGTACCGAACCTCATCACGATGGCGTGATGACTGGGGCACGGAAACAATCTTGCCCAACAACTAGCTTCGGACGCTGATTTATTGGAGTCTCACCGCAGCTAGCTTTTGGAACCAACGGTGTAGCAAACTCGGCCAGCTTCGATATACATCCGAGCCTCGCCAGAGCCTCGCGCAAAGTTCTCCCATCATGGGAGGTAAACGGACAGACAGTTCCTCAGGTCTGATTATATCCGACACAAAGTGATGGCGTCAGGCACCATGCTGCTACATGTATTGAGGGAAACTACTGACACATACTAAACAAATTGATTTTACTTCAGCACGATGACAAAAAAAACTTATAGGCTCATAGCTTGATGTTAATATTTCTTATGAATATTAGCATCCTATGCTATGTAATTATTCCTTTCAAAATCGTTCTTTTCCTTTCATCCAGACGAAAAAAACTTATATAAATATATATATATATATACATAAACATGGGAAGCAACATTTCTTTGATAATTAGCACAACAATATGGTACCGTCATCACCCGGATATACCCCCAGGTGGGGGTGTAAAAAAACCTGGAAAAATGGTGGGTGGGCTTCTAATGTGGTAAATTTTATAACCCTGTGGGCTAAATAAATGACACTTATGGAATTTTGATTTTATAACTCTAGAATGCAGATTTCACCCTGGCGATTTAAATCGATGCTTACACAAAGAGGATCGCTGCTGAAAAGTTCCGAGAATGTGTCGTACAGTCAAGAATCCGAGTCAGCACCTGCTCAAATGTTGCAGATTTCGCGCACGTGCACCTCCTGTGGCAATTTTGCCAAGCGAGCCAGGGGGGATTTCGTCAGGCACGTCTGTGACGATTCGTTTAGGCGCGTTAGTGGTGATTTCGCTACAAAAAAACACCAGAATTCATTGGGTGCGCTTATACGAAGATTGACACAACTTGGGGTGGGCTTATAATCGGCAACCGGCTATAAGCCCACTAGTACGATTATAACCGCATGGGTGTAACATAGGCCTGGGGGTATATCCGGGTGATGACGGTATGCTCAATACCTCAATGCTCACATTAAGATTTTTTTCACAAATAATTGCCCATTGTCCTCGGTCCATTCATTTAAAGTATATATTACGAGTACAATTAAGCGAGCATGCCCCAAAATGTCAGGGTAAATACCCTAATTGCCCTGACTGGCCGCCGCTTTCTTTGTGTTACCTTGACACAGTCAGCCTCCCAGACTTCTTGCCCTGACTCAAAAAGTGTTTGCTTTTTTTTTACCCTTGTGAAATCCGAGTTAGCGATTGTTTCCCCTGACTTCATTAGTGTTTCAACCCAGTTACCCAGGTTCCGAATCTTTCGTAGCGAAGATAGGGCGGATTCTGCGCATAATACCTAGCACTGGCGAGTTGCGTATTAGCGTAAATTTCCAACATGGGAATCGACCCGAAGACATTCCAATTCGTAGCAACGATGTACATATGGGACCCTGGTTCACTGATAACATCAGCGTACATTCCTGAAGCGCGTCACAAAAGCCTCTCGTCTCAAACGTCGAGATGTCAGAGGTGCACTGGAGATACCCGACTAATATAAAGAAGGGTTACAGGCAAGTTGGTCTGGGGGGGTTATGGTCACACTCACCCGCTTTTCAGACAAGCCATTTTATCCTGTCAGATATATATGACATAGCTGTTGTAGGCTATAGTGGGGTAGCACATATGGGGTACAGCTCTCTAGGGTTTGCATTTGTACCCAACTTTCACTTAGTCATTTCATTCCTGTTCTAGTATTCTCACATGGTATAGAGCGGGTTCCCTGTGGGAACTTCGCCTAGGGCCCAC